AGCAATTCCTCTGGGTCAAGCCTTATTCTAGGTGTGGAGCCACAGCAATAAGCAAAACAGAAAGAGAGCCCTGTCCCCTGGAGCTGACAGCATAGTGCCTGGCAAAAGTACAGAGGTGCTGGTTGGAGGATTGGTGAGTGGAGAGGGGTGTGGTCAGAAGACAGAGTGTGGGTGGAGAATGAAAGGATGGTTTGGAGGTGGGGTTAAGGAGGATGAGGCCAGGACCAGAACTCCAACTTTATCCAGTGGGCAGTGAGGAGCCACGTGCGTGTGGGCGAGAAAGAGTCAGACTTGAGGGATGAAAAGATCACTCCAGCAGATGTGGACATCGGAGAGAAGAAGACACAGTGGTCCCCAAAGGAGGCACTAGGGCAGCTGTGCCCATTAGTATTCCATGTGCTAGAGCCATGTGAGCATGTGTAAAGGGATGAGTCTGTGTATAGGAGTGTGTGTGTGTGTGTAGGAGTGATGGGTGTGTGTATGCGTATCTATAAAAAGATAGTAATTGTATAGATGATTGTGTGTCTCCTGGGACACCTTTGTGTGGCAGAAGACTCTTGGGGTTTGTAGAAAATAGGGGGCAGACACCGAGATGTGCCAAGGCCTGAGTCCCCTGGACTTCAGCCCATATGTGAGTTGGCAGGTCCTGGACTAGTCTAGACTAGAATCCTCCAGGCTTCCTTCCCCCTCTAAGGTTATGGAGCTGGCCATCTGCTGCAGAGAAGACAAATGTGTATGCAAATAACATGGGGATGGATGAGACCTGTGGTTGACCAGCCCCCCCACCCCTTGTCCCTTGAGCCTGAGTTCACTCAGCCTGTGTTCTTTTCCACTCAGAGCTGCTGTGGGGGCTCTGGGAGCTGGCCCTGCCCACTCTGAACCCAGATCCACACTGTCCACAGTACCTGCCTGTGGCCAGATCCTTTCTCTGTAGGGGTCACCCTATATCTGGGGCCAGTGCCTGTGAACACCCACAGCTGACCTGGGCTAGTGGACATGAGCAGCACCTCTGTTAAGTGTGAATTTGAGTACACACAGACTCACACATTTGCACATACATTTATACATGAATGGCCCATAGGCCATATATGGACACTTGTGCACACACACAACTGTACACATATACTTGCATGTGTTCATAGACACTCATACCTGTGCACACATACCTGTCTGCACACACATATATGCATGTTTCTGTAGATACACATCTCTGTACACATACAGGAGTTCGGCTCTACCATGGAAGCACTGCACATGAGAGATACAGATACAAAGTTACAAACCTGTACTCTGCCTCTTCTGCCCTCACCCACATCATGCTCACAGCCTGTGTGCACGCACACACTGTGTGCACACACCAGGGCTGACCAAGGGTGGCTCACCAGGGTGTGCCCTCTCTGGGCTGAAGCACTGAGGGCGGGCTCCAGCTGGATGCACAACCCGCAGGGATGTCAGTTCCTCCAAGATGCCTCTCAGATTGTACCCTGGCAGGGGCCCTGGGGTGGTGGAGCTCCCTTTAAGTCCATGGGCTCCACCTCCAGTCACAGAAAAACAGCCTCGCACACTGCCTCCTGAGAAGCCCCCATGTTGGGATCTGGCCCTTGCTCACAGTCCTTGGGCCTAGCATGACCGGGCAGGCCTGCCTGCCCCAGAGGGCTGCCTTCTGCTGGCTAGGCCTCCCTGGACACTGCCTTCCTCCACCTGAACTGCCCGAGTCCTCAGAGAGAACCAGGCCAAACTTCACAGGGCCAGAGCCCTGCCTGAGGCCACCCAGCACTTTGGACAGGGCTCAGCTTGAACCTGGGACTTCCAGGAGTCTGACCACACTCAGCAACCAGAGGATAGATGTATGTCAGGGGCACAGATGGGCTCCTGGAAGCCGGACACATGGTCATGGGGGATGGGAGCAGATTTGGGGTCTATTGAGGGTCTGCTGGCATCACTGAAATGGAGAGATGGCAAGTAGGAAAGTCTGCTCTTCAGACCCTAGTGAGGAAGTGCAGCGTCCAGAGAGGGGTCATTATTAGGAACAGAGACAGGCTGGTTCTTGGACAGGTCCTGAGTTTGAGAGGCCCAGTACTCAGACTGACAGGCTCTCAGCTGAGAAACCTTGTCCTAAAATACCCAGTCTGAAGTAGCTGGGCCCTGGACAGCTTAGTGTGACCTTTAATGTGGGGAGATGAAAAGAGGTGGCTGCAGGTCTGGGTTTGGCACCCCTAAAACTGAACTTCCTCGTGGCAGAGGTGGGCATAGGGCTCAGGGCCTGGGAGTATAAGACCCTGACTGCATTCTTGGGGACAACAGGAGAGCTGGGAAAATTAGATTTTCTCTCATGCCTTTCCTTAAGAGACAGCATGAATATAAAGCACAGATTGGAGCCAGATGGATTAGGTTTGACTTTTGGCTCTACTACTTATTAACTCTGTGACTGTGGGCAAGTTACTTAGTCTCTCTGTGCCTCAGTTTTCCTTATCTGTTAAATGTGACTAATAATGGGTCCTGCCTTCTAGTACTGTTGAGAAGACAAACTATGAGGCACAGAGTAAGTACTCAGCAAATGTTAAAGCCCAAGAGATGCTGGCTGTGCAAGGCCAGGGTTGGCCCTTTTCTTTAGAGACTGAGATAGCCTCTCCTGAAGAACAAATAGCTCTGGCCTGTGGCTGTAACAGATGTCTCTTGGATACCTTGTCCTACCTGCACTGTCTGGAGCCCAGGCTTGAGTTGATAATAGATGCTCAGGATTTATCAAGAGACTTGTGTACTGGTTTCAGACTCAGTACTTATAATAGCCCTTACATTGGTCACCCCCTTAACAGAGCAAGAAGCTGAGGCCAAAAAAAGAGAAGGGAGGACTTCTCTTTTTGGTCAGAACCTTTGCACATCTTAGCCCATGTAATATTTTCTACAGCATTAATAAGTAGGACAAGTTGCCCCCAGTCTGAAGATGCAGTAAAAAACACTGACTTGGCCTGGATTACTTTATGACAAAGGAGTTCCCCATCCCTTCCTGTGCCCCTAGACATGACTCCTAGGAAAGATGAAAGAAGGGGGACCCAGAGGACTAAGGTAACATCCAGGGAAGGCCTACTGGAGGAGGTGGGCATCCAACTGGCCCCTGAAAGATAAGCAGGCCCAGAGGGCATTGGGGTTGGGGTGGTTGAGTGAAGGCCTGAAGGTAAGAATGAGTCAGTCACCCAGCTGAATAGAGAGGGCAGCATAAATTTAAGGAATGGTGGTGAGAGGGTCAAAGCCGAAACAACAAGTTGGGTCTAAGTTATAGAGGGTCTGCCATGTCAGGCTGAGGGTTTGGGCTTTACTGGGCTGCCAGCAGGGAGTCACTGAAGGTGTGTGAGCAGGGGAAGAGGCATATCCAGAGCTGGGCCACAGAAAGAGAGGTGGCTCCCCCTGAGCTGGTGGCACAGCCGGGGCTCTGCCCAGCCTGTGTGCCTGGTGCCTGGACTGTGTCCAGGACTGGGTTCAATGACTCAACCTTGAGGAAATCACTCCCCAGGGAGAAAGGACCCAGATGAATCAGCCCAGTAAGGTGGGGAGCTGGGAAGCTGGGGGTTCACTGAGTCACCCTCCAAGAGGGGCCAGGAGGGTGGGGGATAAGGGGAGAGTTGCAGAAAGAGGGGACTGCAGTGCAGTGGGAAGGATTCAGGTCAGACCACAGCAAGGGCTGTCAGGGGACTCTGGCTGCCTGCCCACCATTGTGGGGTTGATTTTCCTGGCAGTGTTGTGAAAGAGATGGGAAAACTGAAGCCCAGAAACCAACTGGGGAGGGGATCTGACCAAGGTCATGCAGTTAAGCAGCTAGCTGGCAAAGGCGAAGAGAGACCCAAGACACCCTCCAGTCCAGACACGTCCCACCGCCTCAGCCGTCCTCGTGCCAAGCGGAGGCTAGGAAGGGGGTGGGTCCAGGCAGGGAGTTGTCCCAGGTGACCCCTTCCCCCTCGAACCCCCGCCCTCCCCACACAAACAACAGCCCGCGCAGATGGCAAATCGGGCCGGGCCGCGCCGCCGCGATGGGACAGCAGAGGGCGCAGGAGCGTCACGGCTGCCGCAGGCGCCTGAGCACAGAGGCCGCTCTGCGGAGAACTGCGCTCTGAGTTCGCAAGTCCCACCGCGGAACCGTGGACTGTGGGGCCCTGGGGCCTGCACCCTCTCCGACTTGCGGGAACACCCGCGCAGACCTACCTGCCCAGTGCTGGGGGCCCAGTGAGCCTACCCTCGATTCAGGAATGGTGCGCCCATCCGTGCGCTAGCGTGTCGGTGCGCACGTGTCTCCCTCCCAGATTTGCTACTGCTCCCAGAGCCTGTCCGACTCCGAGCGACCTTTAAAATTTCCCCTCATTCCCCTCTTTTTCCTGGAAGAAGAGCAAACCCAGGATCCCGTGTGTCGTGCCAGTGGTCCCTTCCCTTCTATCTCCCCTAGCGGACCGCCCTCCACTCCCTCACTGCACTGGTCTCTCTGCCTTCGGGCTGTGGCCCGGCTCCAGGACTTTATAAGTAAGTGGAGGGGGAGAGGATGTGATCAGACAGGAAAGGGGCTCAGACTCCTGAGAGGTAGTGGAGTGGAGGAGGAGCAGGAGAAGGGAGCGAAGGCGGAAAGCCGGCTACCTGGCGGGGGATCCCAGTAGCGGACCAGCCGGAGAAATCTTGAGAGCGGAGAGATAAGGGAAGTGACAGCTGGTGGGGGGCTCTGATGGGGGTCCGAAGATCGGACAGGCTGAGAGGTGCTGTCCACGGATGCGCGGAGATGGGCGGGGCCGGGGCGGTCGAGGGGCGGGGACGTGGGCGGTTCGGGGCGGGGCCCGGCGGTCGAGGGGCGGGAAGTGGGCGGTTCGGGGCGGGGCCGGGGCGGACACTCGCTCGGACCCGGCGAAGCTGTCGCGGACGCGCCGACCGAGCGCAGCGGCCGGGCCGGCGGGCGGGCGGGCGGCTGCGAGCATGGTCCTGGTGCTGCACCACATCCTCATCGCTGTTGTCCAATTCTTCAGGCGGGGCCAGCAGGTCTTCCTCAAGCCGGACGAGCCGCCGCCGCCGCCGCCGCAGCCATGCGCCGACAGCCTGCAGGTAGGGAGCGGGGGCCCGCTCTGGGCTCGAGGGGAACCGGGTGCTGGGTGAGCTCCCGGCCCGGTCCTCCGCTGAGCGTGCTGTCGCCGGCCCCATGGTCCACCCTGCTCCTCAACCCTCCTAGGGTGATGAAACCCCCACCCCCACCCCCCGCCCCAGTTTGAGTCCCACTTCTGTGCTGGAACTGCAGCCCATACCCAGAGACCTTGAATGCCCAGTTCACAGTTCAAAACCTCATGCCTGACTCTGAGCCAGTTTCAGATCTGGGACTCCACCCCAAGCACTGAATTCCCAATCCACAGTGGGACCCCCTGGCACACCCAAAAATTGTGCTGGAGCCTGGAACCCCCTGATTCCCATAATAGTAGAGGACCCCTGCCCATATCGCTGAACTCCCCAATGTATTTTCAGATTCCAGATACACCCAGAACACCTGAATCCCAACTCTCAGCAAGGACCCCACCTCAGAGCTGGAGCCTCACCTCACGCCCCTGAGCCCCTACTCCACAGCCTCATCTGTGCCCCATCCAGGTTCCTACTCAAACATCTGCTCAGTCCTCACACGAGACCCCACCCCTGAGTCTAAATGCCCTTTCCATCTCGGTTTCTCTCCCTCTCTGCAGGATCCCCCTCCCACTCTGTTCCTGCTTTCCCCTCCTCCCTCCTCTATAAGAGATCTTAGTCTTTTCTGGCTTGTCTCACCCTCTCCTCTTGTTTCTCTCTGGGTATGTTGGCTCCAATTTATTCTCTGGTTTCTTTTCTGGCTTCTCTGAGTCTTTCTGGGCATCCTCTCTCTCTCTCTGCCCCTCTGTTTCTCTCCTGTTTGGTCTCTCTTGCCCATGTGCCCACCTCTCTCAGTCTGCCCATCACTCCTCCAATTTCTCCAGGTTTCTATCTTTGTTCTAGGGCCTTTCCATGTAGTCATCGTCCCCCTTATGTCAGCCTCTGATTTTGGGTGGTGAGGGGACTGGCTCAGAATGCCAGGCCAGTGTCCCCAGAGCCTCCACCACTCCCCTTGTTGTCATGGTGTGGGTGCTGGTAGAAGGGGCTAAACATGGAGCACGCAGCCCTTGGGCGGTGCCCAGGGATCTAAGGCGGGTGGGGATCGTGCAGTGGGGCACTGGGGTTCACATGAACGATGAGGATATGGCATTGCATGGCACGTGCCGCTGGGGAGGCTGAGTTGTGCGTGTGGAGTGGTAGCTGTTCATATGACTGTTGCATGTGTGGGGAACTTATGTGTACATGGTGTGTGCCTGTCTTCATGGGGTGGAGTAGTTGTAGGGGCCACTTACACAGGGGACTGTGTGTATATATGTTATAAACTGTTGTATGTAATCAGGAAAAGCCACTCCTGGGCCCCAGTGAAAGGTTTTACTGGATGTCTTACTTGAAGGGGGTGGAGAGAGGGTCTCTGTGAGTGTGTTTGCAGCCAAGGTGACTGACTTCGAGTCACCAAGTTACATCCTGGAGTTGGTCAGGAAATATATGGGGACATGTGTGTTGCTGTTTGAGTGTTATATGTCTATGTAATGGCTGTTGGTACAACTCTGGGTAGGAAAGAGTGCAATGGCCAGGGCCCAGGGGTCCAAGGCAAAGACTTGTTGACTAAGTGTATGTGTGTATGTGCACACACAAGTGTATGTGGGGAGGAGGCAGAGTGCAGGCAGGACTGTCTGTGCTAAGGAGCTGTGTGTGCCCATAAACATGTGATATTTTGATGTGACATTAGGTATGCACATTATTTATGCAGGGTGTGTCTGTGTCTGGTGGTGTGTGTGTATTGAATTTAATTGGATGCGTGTGTGCTTGGAGAGGTGAGTATAGGGTGTGAGAGGTGCGTGTGGGAGGTTGAGCGAGTGTGGTGTGAAGCGTGGGTGTGTGAGCTGGATGACTTTTCCGTGTGATGTGGATTATGTGATCTTTTCTCCCTATGAGCTGTTTATGTATGAAGGGTGTCCAGGGAGCAAGGGTATGTGTGGGGGCGAGGCAGTGTGGAGGCCTGTGGAGGGTGCTGCAGCGGGTGAGGGAGTGTGTGTATAAGGTGTTTGGGGTGAAGAACACGGTGTGTGATGTTCAAGTGGGCAGAATACAGCAGGTTTCCCTAAAATGTGTGTGTGTGAGGAGGGCTTGACCGCCATCCTGTCCTTGCTTTCCTCCCAGTTAGGTCCCCAGAGATGCCCAAGCCAGGCTGCCTTTACCCTTTGCCCTTCATCCTCCTCGCTTTCACCAAGGCCTTTGTCTTGGGTTTCCGGTCGAGCAGGCGCTGGACAGGCGGGCGGCGGGTGATGTCGAGGTCTGGGAACCTTTGTTCTTTTCCTCTTAGCCTGTCTCGTGTTTGGGGCCGGGATTGGAAGGGGTGGAGAGAGGATGCACGTGTCTCGGGGTCACTGTGTTTCACTACCAGCTCACAGTGCTCTGCAGAGGGTGGGGGTTCAGGCACAGGTACTGAGGCCTGGGTGGTATCCCCGATGGCGCCTTCTTGACATAAGAGCAGCTGGGGCTGGGCTTGGAGTTGGGCGGGTTTGCCAACCGTGAGGTCTTAGTCCCAAGCATGGCCCAGTGCCCTTCCTGCTCACGTCATCTCCGGGGTGCTGAGCAGCCCTGTTGCCTCTTCTGTAGGCTGGCTGGTCCTCTTCCCTTCTCTGTGTGGTGCCCGGAGAGGCTTCCTGAGCTGGGACACAACCAAGAAGACCTCAACCAGTCTCCACTCTTATTGATCCCACATCTGATGGGGGGATAGTTTCTGTCTGCCCAGGGCTTTCATCTAAAAAAGGAGACCTGATCACACCTTTTGGGACCTTCTCGTTTGATGGACCCAGTAGGAGGATCCAGGTCATACTCTCCAGAGAAAGCTATGGGGAAACCTTAGTGGGCAGCTTTACAAAAGGGACTCGAGAACACGAAAAGACAGGACTCCTGGTGGTTGGGAGCCACAGAGACCATCAGAGTCAGTTAGGGGAAGGGGCTCAGGGCCACTGCCTCAACACCACATTCCAGAAGGTTCTCTGAAGGGAGTGAGCTTGAGCTGAGCCCTGGAGGGGATGTAGAGAAATATAGCCTGAGGTTGAGGAAGATTCTGGTCCAATTGGAAGAGAGGGATCTTGAAGGCTGTTGAACATTCCCAAGCAATACTGTCTGACTTCAGGTAGCCATCTCTGGGCCTCCTCCCTTCTCAAGTTTTCACGTCTGGCCCATCCCGATTGTCTTTGGCCAGAATCATCATTGTCATTATCTTCATCATCAGCTTTAAGCAGCTCTTTCCAGATTCCAAGCTCCTTTCACAAATGTCTCCTTTAACAGATGAGCTCATTCCATTGTCTGAAAGCATTTATTGAGTACCTGCTAGGCCACAGGCAGGCACAGTGTTAAGTGCTGGGCATATAGCAGTGACCAAACAGGCCTCATGGGGTTCCTACTTTCTGTGTCTAAGGAACCCTGTCTTTGTGGCCCATCCACACTGTCAGCCCCTCCAGCCCTGGGCAGATGGCCCTCTTTCTGTGTTTTCCTGCAGCCTGATGTGCACTTGATGTGCTGCAGGCAGGCATCCCATGGTATTGGGGTCTGGCTCCCACTAGAACATGAGCTCTTCAGAGGCTGGGCGGGATCTGCCCTTCCCATGTGTCCTGACCTGGGCTTAGCATAGTCCAGATGTTCATACTGATTATCAGAGGTCCCAATCCCCTGTAGGGTTGGCAGCCCTGCTGCCATCTAGAGAAACTGAGGCCTAGAGTGGGGAGCTCTTTAGGGAGCCTCCTCTTAAGACCTTCCTTTGCCCAGTGTTGCCAGAGACCAAGAGAAGTCAGGTGACTTGTGCAGGTTTCACAGCAAGGTGGCATAGCTGGTCCTAGAATACAGCTCTCTGGCTGCCAGGCTGGGCTCTGGCCCCAGCACCATGCTGCTCCCTGGCTGGCCTCCGGGCTGCCTGTGGCGGGTAAATGATTATTAATGACCCCCCTGGCAAGGAGACAGGAAACGTTTCCCAACCACAGCTGGGGACCTGCTCCCTGCCAGCCCCAGCTATCCATACCCGCCCTGGCCATGGGTCAGCATTGATGTTATCACCATGCCGCCTTGGCCTTCTGTTTGTCTTCCTGCCCATCTGACTCCCACCTCCCTTTCCTCTAAGGGATAAAGGACAAGACGGAACAGAGCTTTCTCTTTCACATCTCTGTCTCCAGTTTGCTTCATCTCCACCTTCTCCCTTGCCCTGAACCAGCCGGAAGTATTCTCTCCTCCAGGAAGTCTTCCCTGAATGCGCCACCATCCCCTTCTTCCAGTGGCCTTGTCCTGAGCTCTGGTCACTGAATCTGGCTGATTGCAGACTCTGGCCTCACTTTGATGGTTTGCTCTGATGGTCCTAAGGCTGGGCTGGTGACTTCCTGTGTGGCCTGTCCTCAATTGCTGTCTTAGGGCTGACACGTGGAGTGTTGTCCCAGATGCTTCCTCCAGGAAGTCCCCAGCCCAGCCCAGGGACTCTCACTTCCTCTGACTATCCCAGCCCTCCCTGGCCATGCCACAACTGTGTACTGCCAGGCCTTTATGAGCACCTACTATGTGCCCAACAGAGATGGTAGGTAGAGAGAACACAGTGTAGACCTTAAACTTCAGCCACACATTGCCCTAAGTCTGAGCAACAAGGCATCTGCCTCTTGGCAGGTGAACAGACCCAGGTACCAGGGCCAATGGTGGTCAGGTGATGGGGTGATGGAGGGGCACAGACAAAGATGAATGCTGATAGATTGTGTGGGGAGGGCAACTCTGGAGAGAAACTTGGGGGCCATGGTGGGAACAGGGCAGGGGCCCCTAATTCAGCCCAAAGTTGCAGGGAAGGCAAGTTGGGGAGCTTCCAGGAGGAAGTATATCTAAAGTGGGAGCTGAGGGATGAGCCAGGAGAAAGTTCTGGATAGGGAGAAGGAGAGAATCGCGAATGTGAAGGCTTGCTGGTGACAGACAGAGGGAGGGAAGCGTTCTGTGGAGCTGGGTGCTGGACTGAGTGG